TTATATTGTACATAGGGCATAGAATAAAACCACATTATTTGCAACTAGAGGTGACTTCCCCCCCATAAGACATTCAATATTGCTTAAGTACACATTCAAATTATCATATACCATTCCTGGTACAATAGACAGGACTTAGGAAAAAATACAAGTCTGACCTAAACATAACTACAAACCAAAATGTTTGAGTCCAATAACCACAGAAGCTCCAGAGTGGGAGCCAGTGAGCTAAGACAGGAGGCCATATGAAAGGTCCAAGAGTCACAGCCACATCCCTACTCAGGGCTTTAAGATATACCAGCTATTCTGTCCAGTGCCACCAAAGGGTATGAGAACTGTTCAGTGAACTCCTGATTTAGTCAGCCTTCATGTTTGGGGCTTTCAGGATTGACCTCTATGTTCACAGTTCACTGAAAACACTGAGAAAAGAGTAACCAACTTCCCAGACTTCCCCAGATGGCCTTGGGCAGCCCTCCTCTGTGCTCCCATAATGCCTCGCTCCTCTCTCTAACTCCGCACCACCCACGGCATGCTACGGCCTCTGCCTCTTGCCAACCCTCTGGATCATACCGCCTCTTTTCATATTGGTCTCCATCAACAGTTCTGAGCTTAAGGGCACAGACCAGGCTTCATCCACCTTGTATTCCCAGCTAAGTCTAACCCAAGGCCCTTCACAGCAGAGAAGCCCCCCCCCCCGCCCCGCCAAAAGTTTGCTGAACGTATGCAAAATGAACAATGCATTTAGGCAATGCGGTCCTGGTACATACAAACGCCTCCCCTTTCACTTTCAGCAGCAGCCTCGAATTTACAACTTCGTTCTAGATTTTCAGCCAGCACCTCAGCCCAGCTGAGCCTTTCAGTTCCTAAAGTCACATCTGTCCTGGCTGCTACTCTTGCCTGAATTTGAGTTGGAGCTCTCATTTGTGCTTCTGGTACTTCTTCTGCCCCTCCTGGAAGGGCCCTCCCCACCCCCACTCTATCCCCCCAACACCCCCCCGCCCCAGCTTCCAGGCCCCAAACAGCAGCTGTCTGACCAACCTGCTGGTGTGTGTGCCAAGTTCACAGTCACTATGCCCGGCCCAGCAGAGCTGCGTTAGAGCTAACATCAAGGCGGGCACACTGGCCAGGTGCCAGGCCCTTGCTGTTAAGAAGCCTGTATTGTCATATAATGTTAAATGGGCCTTATAAGTGCCTGGTGAAATGGTTGCCAGAGCCAGATATGCCTTCTAACAAGCAGACATTGTTCTTTAACCATTTTCCCTGTGCAATCTTCCCTCCTCCTGCAGATTACAGACTCCTCCAGGCGCTATGCCGGAATACCTCCTTGTAAATCCCCTCAACACCTAGCACAGGGTTCTGTGCACAGTAAGCTTTCAATTAATAAGCTCTCCATTTAAGAGCCACCATATCCACCAACACTTGCCAGCCCCAGCTTCACGGGAACAAATGCCTTCACATGCACTATTTCCAGTAAATCCAATCTCTAGGAGGAACCATCATCCCCAGTCTTGCAACTAAAGATCGCCCAACTTTTAAGTGGCAGGGCCGACTCCAGGTCTCCAAATACCCAATGTCAAGTTCTTTCTTTCCACTCCAAGATGCTGCTTGATAAAAACTTGCTGTAGGAGTGATAGGCAGACGCACATCTTGCCTTGCCACAGCCACTCTGCTCCCCACATCTCAATGTTGATGGCTTCACTCTGCCAGACCCCTGAGATGAGGATTAGGTTTTTGACTTTTACCCATGATGTACGAGGCCTGCCGGGGTTGGAGGGGGGCGGCAGTATTCAGTGGCAGCTTTCCCAAGGCACTGGCAAAATTAGTTGGTGCAAATCATTTAAAGTTTTTTTTTTTAATTTTGTCCATTACAAGAAATGAATGACCAAAAAAAACAAAAAAACAAAGCACAAAACAAAAAAACCCAACCCAGGAGTAGGCAGCCTTCACGAGAAAACCTTTCCAAGAAAATCTTTAAGATAGAGAAGACAGTTTGAAAAGCTGTCTATCAGCAAAGCACCATAACCCTGCCATGGGAAACTGCAGTGCTGAAAGAAGGCCTGATTTTTGCTTTTGTAAAACTACCCCCTTGCAACCCCCTGTGAGCAGTATGTGCTGCCATTCGAAATGCTGGATCAGGCCTCGTTTGAGGGCTGCTTCGCAATTTTTCAAAATTAAAAATGGTCTTTGGAGACTTTCTGCCACAGAAGGGGTTTAAAAGTCTGAAAATAGGCTTTTTACATATAAACTGACCTGCAGAAAGCTTAACAATGAGGTGCTCTCCCGAAAGGTCTGCCCCGTGCTCCAAATGCCAAGGTCAAATGATCCTTAACTGAGTGGGAATATTTTTTTCTTGCAAAGAGACCTAACCTGTCTCCAAAACCCCTCATATCTGCATATCTTCTCCCCCACCCCTCCTATCTGCCTATGTAAGTCCGACCCCGGCCACCTTAACACCCACAGGAGGCTACCTACCTCTGAACAACAGAATAGCTCCACAGCTATAAAATCCAACATTCCACAAGGGAGGACTCTATAATCTGCACTTTAAATACTTAAACCCACATAATTTCAGACCCACTGAACAAATCCCAGAGGTTTACAGAGGAAAATGTGAGGCTCCAAATCTTTGTTCTAAGGGCCAAAAAACCTAACCTGCCTTAGATTTTATTTTACAATTACTCCTCCCCGCAAAAGCTGGCAGTCTAACAAAATTAAAAAGACTCTTTCCCCAATTTTCCCCAGATGGAGGCAAGTGGCAGATCAATGTACAGCTCAAGGAGAGGAATTTAAATACAGTATGTGCTTCTCCTTTCAAAAAAGGAGAGAAGCCACTTCACATTTTGCCAGACAAAACCCTGTCCCCAGGAGGCCAGTTTCCACAATGAGGTTGCAAAGGTGCTAGAAAGAGGCCAGTAGGGAGGAGATACAGGGCCATTTGGGCACAAACCCCCCCCCACAGATCAGAGCTTTTTTTCCAAAGTGTCTCCTTTTCAACAGGGAAGCCTTTTAAAAGTACATTTGCTTTGGATCCCTACCTGAATGACAATGTGTTGGGATCCAATTTCACCTTTTGTCAAGGATCGGGTGAGAAACAGTGAAACTGCTGTCAGCATCTTAGAAAAAGCCAAGTCCCTAGCTTATATGGGGAGGGGGGGGGTACTTACAATCCCTTGTCCCGCCCTAGTGATGGGGTGAAGGTGACAAATGCCTCCTAATCTTACAAGCAGTCCGAAACTCAAACATATTAGACATCCTTTATTTAAAAAGGTGTCACTATGCAAAAGACAATTGTGCTCTGAATTGAACCATTCACCAGTGGGGGGGGGGGGGGAATCTTAGTTCCTTCCTAACATTTCCTCTAAAAGTCACTTCACTCCTAAGAACTCTGTCAACAATCATCAGAAAATGCATGTGGAAAAAGGATAACAGAACCTGAACCTGAAAAATCTGCACAGAAAAGGACAACTAAATGATGTATCTTAAAAGCTTATCTATTGTTATGCAAATGAAGAAATATCAGACTCTATTGCACTTCATGGCCGGGTGTCTGCAAATACAGAATTACCTTTCAAGCAAGCCATCCGCTCCTCAAACTCACCTAAAAACAAAACAAACAACAAAAGCCCAATGTCTTTCACTACAGTGGAAAAGGTCTGCAGGAGTGATTTTGGGAAAATTGTATCATCCTGAGAGAAGACTCAGGGTTGAGGGGGGAGGCCTGCTAGGGAGAAAGATTTTAAGGGGGGGCGGGGGAAGACATCAGAAACCTGAATCCCAAAGTGACTCAAAACACCTCCCCCGGTGGGAGGTGGAAGGGTGGTCACAGTAGAATCGAAATCAGAAACCTATTCTGAGAGCACATTCCTGGAAACTTCGCTCTTTCGAAGACCACATTTATCACCATTATTGTTGTTAGAATGCATAAGGGAATAAGGTTATTTTACGGAAGAATGTTACAGCAAAGGTTCCAGACTCTTAAGGTCACCTCCACCTCTCCTAATCGACTGGGCCTTTCTGGCAAGAAGATAAAATAATGGCAGGGTAGAATCTCCAGGTGGTTGCTGTTTAGCAATTTTTACTACTGTTATTAGTAACACCTTCAGGATTCTTTCTTAGCCACGGGCAATCCTTCTGTAAGCCTCTTCCTCCATTGGGGAGGGCCAACATGGTAAACAATACAGAAGAAATGGAAACCTTATTCACTGTTTCCCCTTTTTCCTCCCCCAAAAAGGCACACACAAAACAAAAATCATACAGCGGAGAGTGCGTAAACGACAACAGCAATAGCAGAAAGCAACAACAAAAAAAAAGTCCCCCACACCGAACCAGAGTCGGGAATCTACCAGGCCAGCCCCTCCCCCAATACACCCTGGCGGGGAAAGGGAGCGCAGAGTCCGCTCCCGAGGCCGCTCTCCGCCGGGACCCAGGTGGCCCGGGAGCAGCTGCGCACGCTGCGGTGCCTTCCTTCCCGGCGCCCATCCGTGCGCCTTGGTCTGGGGGACACAGGGAGGTGGTCAAGGGGGTGGGGTAGGGGAGGGAAATCGTCGAAGCCAGGCGGGGCTGTCTGCCCCGGGATGGGTACACAAAGAACGAGGGGAGTTTGCAGGGGTGGGGGGGGTGAAAACAAGACTGCGGGGGGAAATACGTGCAAAATTAGGGAAGGGGATTCGAAGAAACCGCTGAGTCCTCGCTGAGATAAAGGAGCTGTTGAAGGGTGGGGAGGGCGGGCAGAGTGGGTTCCGTGCAAAGGGCAGAAGCCTCTGCAGAGGAGAAAGGGAGAGGTACCTGTGTACATGAAAGAGGAGTTGGTGTGTAGTCGGGGGGCGGGGGGGAGTCTGCAGAGGGCAGAGGTGTCTGGCGGAAAAGGAGCTCGGTACATACCAGAGAGGTCTGTGCGTGGTCAGCGGGACCTGTACTGGAGAATGGGACCGGGCTCTGCGCATAGGAGAAAGGCAAAATGCCTGGCAAGTTCGGGGGGGGGCGCAAAAGGGGCCACTTACCTGCATGGTGACGACCCCCAGTTCCTCGGCCGCCAGCCTCCGCATCTGGCTCGCCAGCACTTGCGCCTCGTCCAGGATGGAGAAGTCGGCGTCGGCCACGGCGCCCAGCAGCCAGCACGCGCCCAGGCAGAGCAGCCAGAGGGGCGGCCGCGGCGCCCGGGCCCCGGCCGGGCCGGACGAGCCCCGGCAGCCGCGGGCCAGGGCGGCCGCCCCCGCCGTCTCCTCCTCCTCCGGCTCGCGGGCCATGCTGCCTCCCCCCACTCCCCGCCGACTGGCTCAAGGCGCCGGGAAGCGGGGAGGGAGCAACGCGAGGTGCGCCCAGGGCCCGCTCAGCGCACCCCGCAAAACTTTCTTGCCCTTCTGCAGACGCCTCTGCGCGCCGCGGCGGCTCCCAAACTTAGGGGGCGCCCGGCTACAGCGCAGGAGCGCGGGCGGCCACCATCGCCTGGCTCCGGCGGCGGGCGGGAGAGGAAGCGGCCGCCGGAGCGCTCCCAAGGACCCCGGCGCCGGCGCGGCCCCCGCGGCGCGGTGCGGCGGGCGTCTCGGAGGGTGGCGGCGCCCGCACCCGGCGCGCGGGCCGCGGGGCTGACAGTCGGAGAGGCGAGCGGCGGAGCTTTCGCTTCCCGGGAGTCCCGGCGAGGCGGAGGCGGCGAAGGCGGGCGGCGGCACCCGCGGAGGAGGAGCGGCGCCCGAGCGGCGAGGCTGGGCAGCCACCCCAGCGAGGAGGGAGAGGGAGAGGGGGAGGCTTAAAACACACACAAACACACAACAAAAAACTGAGAGAAAGAAAGAAAGCAAGCGGAGGGGGGAAAGGGAGGCGTCTGGTGCCACCACGCTGCACTCTGGCTCCGTGCACTTCCCGACGCGGCCGCCGCCGCGGCTGCGGTGATTTATGGAAGGAGGGAGAGAGGCGGGGAAATTCCCCCAGTCGCCCCTCCTCTCTTTCCCTCGCTCCCGCCCTCAACCGGCCCCCCAGGAGCCGGGGGCCGGAGAGCCGGCTCTCTTCTCGGGTACCAGCCCTGCCGGCGGTGGGGTCACTCGGACCTTCTCGTGGCCGGGGACAGCGACCCACCCCAGCTCTCACCGCCATCGCCAATGCAACGGACTCCGGGATCCCACCCGTTCCACGTTCCATCCAATGGCCCTTTAAGTCCTGGGACGCCGGCTTTCTGCCTGGCAGAGTTTGGGAAGGAGGGGACCGCCGTTTGTGCGTCCTTTGCTTCTCTTCGGTGTTATTAGTAACAATCACTCGACGGACCAACAGGTGCTTTTATTAACCAGCTACTGTGTGCCCGGCACTGTGCTCTGGGGGTTGTATACATTAGCCTTTAATCCCACCACATCCCTATAAGGTACGTATCTTTATCCTAAATTTTTAGGTAACAGACTGAGGCTAAGAGAGGTGGAATAAATTGCCGAAGGTCACCCAGGGGACAAGAGGCAGATCCAGAATTTAAGCACGTCTGATTCCAAGGGTCTTGTTCTTAAATACGACATAGTTCTTTCTGTCTCTCTTTGGAAATGAACCATCTGATCCCATCAAAAGTAAAACAAAACCCGCAAAACTACGGAACGGGAGTTGGCCCCACACATCTGCGAAGCACAGGGAGGCCGGGTTAACCTTCCTATTTACTCCTGGCTCAGGCTGAGAAATCTCCTTTTGGAAGCACCTGGAACAAGTGGATGGTTGAGGTGGGGGAGGGGTATGCTGAGGCCGCCCTTCGTCCTTCCAAGGGTCGTGAGGTTGCTGCTCCTACCTTCCTAAAGAACAGAGCCATGCCCCACAAGGTGAAGGGGCTTGCCTAGGGATACCTAGCGGGGCTGGTAGTAGGACTACCTGGACTTAGTGCTCTTTTGCACTTTATAGTAAAACCTTCTGTTGTACTTCTTTGACTACATTGTATTAAAAACCCACCTCTTGTAAGCTTTCCCTGGCCCAATCCCTCCTTGTGATTATTTCTCTATTCTGAATTTCCCAATCAGTGTGGTCTCCTATGCTCCATGTTTTCATTTTGTGACACTCTTCACCCTATCTGCCCTTGAGACAAGGACATCAGACTCTTGCTGCACCATCATTTTGTATGTGCGATATTTGTTTTACATAACTCACACATGCTAGAACTAGAGTAAGCTTGTTGAGGGCAGAGACCAATCCACCTCTCCATCATCCACACTTAGCTCAGTACCAAGCATAAAGTAGGTGCTGTAAAAATGAAGCTTTAATTAATAATAGGATAAAAAAAAATCTACCTGTTGTCTTCTATCCCCAGAGTTGAACTGACATTTGGCAGAGAAATGATCCTATAACTTGTTTTTAATTATTGTACATGGCAATCAGTGAAACAAAACATTTTAGTCCACGTGGTAAATGGAAGAGGAAAAAAACCCCAAAATAATGGCAGTTAGCATTATTAATATTTTGTACTGGATTCTTCAAGGATACCGTCATCAGAATTGTCACACATCTCTAAGCCATCCTTCTGAAACTCCTTCAAAATGGCTTCTCTTTCTTTGCCTATCTTTTGTATATTGGTATTTCTTGGGGTCCTATTTCTTGAAATTCTAGTCCTATGTCCCCTTTTTTCACTCCAAGGTTCTTTTTGAGAACTCTCCTGTATACTCATGTCTTCAATTATCAAGACATCAGAGTTTTACAAACTTCTAAACGAAGCTTAATCTCCCCTTTCAGCTGGATTTCCATTTTTCCAACTCTTAGCTAGCTTCTCTAATAACTATACCTAAAACTCATTACTGCTTTCCCTCATTCTCCACCTAAATCTGCATCTGACTGCATACCTGGGTGGATGTCACCTGCTCTCCAAGCCAGGTTTCTTACCCCCAGCCTCCACTCCAGCTCCCTGCCTATGTCTCCTGCCCATCTTGGCACTCCATCTGTATCCCATTGGCTGATGTCACTTCTGTCAGTTCCTCGTCACAGCTGACCTGCATTACAACCACAGCCTCCTCCCCAGTATCCATTCAGTCCTTCTTATCCCCATCATTTTCTGTTCTTCACACCAAAACCAAAGTCATCTTTCTAAAAGTCAAATCTAAACTTGTCACTGAGTAACCTAATCATTTCTGATGCCCCATCACAGAGAAATAAAGTTAACACAATAAACAAGCTCTCTGGGGTGCCTGGGTGGCTCAGTCGTTAAGCGTCTGCCTTCGGCTCAGGTCATGATCCCAGGGTCCTGGGATGGAGCCCCACATCGGGCTCCCTGCTCCGAGGGAAGCCTGCTTCTCCCTCTCCCACTCCCCCTGCTTGTGTTCCCTCTCTCGCTGTGTCTCTCTCTGTCAAATAAATAAATAAAATCTTTTAAAAAAATAAAAAAATAAACAAGCTCTCTGTGCTCTGGTCTGTCTTTCTAGGCTTATTGAAGCCACTCTGCAGCATTTAATAAGCAGCATTGTGATTATCCATTTGAAAGTCTTGTTTTCTCCATCCTAATGTTTCTCAGGTCCACCACCACCTGTAGCCTTGAGGCACTCTTAAACGGCAAATCTAGTGCTCCATCCCAAGTTTACTGAAGTGGAATTGGCAAAGGAAGGCTGAGTCCTGCAGTATGCATTTTACAGACCTCCCCCCTCCTCCCACCAAAGGAATCTTTTGAACTGCTTGCTGCAAACAAAGCTCCCCAGGATGGTAACTCATTCATTTATCCCAGGGTCTACAACCAAGAGATTCTCACTACCCAGGAGGAGCCATGCAATATCTCCTATGTTGCTAATGGAGAAAAGTGTCAGAGAAAGTCATTTGTCCAAGATAATACAACTTTAGATGGTGGTACCAGTATGCAAACCTGGGTCTTTAAACACCAAATGGCAAGCTCTGAGCTATTAGTCTGGTGTCAGAATGTTCACACATGTACCTTGGTATGTGATAGACCAGGAAAAGCTTTTTGGTTGATAAACTACTACTCCTTAATGTCCCCAGCCCATATAAGTGAAATTGCCCCACCAATGACCCCTGCTCAGCATTAGTTGATTGTCTGCCAGGGGGGCAACTGATTGGACCAGGGTGGGCATGTGACATGAAGGCAGCCAATCTATCACATGCCAAGGTATGACAAAAAGATTAGCTGGGTCAAACAAATTTTTATTCTCAAAAATTTTAGGAAATACTAAGAGGAAAAGCAGGTAGAAGTTGTAGTTCAAACAAAAAGGACATAAGGAGTCATAGGAGCCTTGAGTCCCATAATACATATTGCAGGAAATATACAGCCGTATATACATAGCACCTACTACATAGAATTACCCAATAAATAGTGGGTATGATTCTGCGCACTGAAGCTAGGAAGGAGCAAACATCACAAATGAAGAAAGACAACTGGAGAGAAAAGAGAGTGGAATACCTAGAACACATGCCTTATAAGGGACATCACCAAGACCTAGAACCAACTTTCTGGCTCCAATTCCAGTCCACATGTTCTATTAATAAGAGACTCCTTTTTCCTCCCCTTTGTTCTGATGTAATTCTAAAGATCAAGTTCAATCATCTATTCTATATAGTGAAGACACTACTGACTATGTAGCTATTAGAACTTAAAAAATGATGAAAAGACTGGCAGCTGGGCCACAGGTGTCCCTAGGAGACTGTAGACTACCATGAAACTTGCCTGATGGCTTTACCTTCTCATTACAGTGCTCCTGTACTCCTTGCTTGTGACCAAGTTGGACACCTGTTCATTACTTGTTTCCTCCCCAAGTTCCAGCAGTTAACATGTGACCTTGTAATTGTCCATTTGCAAGTCTGTTTTCTCCATCTTAATGTTTCTCCTTGCCTAGGGGCCATGCTAATCTTCTCTATACCATTCCAATTTTAGTCTATGTGCTGCCAAAGCAAGCACTTAACGTTTCTCAGAGTGTGGTCTATAACCACCTACAGCAAAATCACCTATCAGGGACTGTGTCAGCTTCCTTCACTGCCACAGAGTCTAGCATGATTCCAGACACAGTAGAATCCCAAATGATGTAGGAACAAAGAATTGGGGAAAGATTTTTTTCCCAAAGATTTATTTATTTATTTGAGACAGAGAGATAGAGCATGCATATGCATGGAGAAGGGGCAAGGGGAGAGGGAGGGAGAGAATCTCAAGCAGACTCCCCACTGAGCCCAGAGCCAGACTCAGGCTCGATCCCACGACCCTGAGATCATGACCCCAGGCGAAACGAAGAGTCGGACGCTCAACCAACGAGCCACCCAGGCACCCCTAGGGGAAAGATTTTTAAGAAAATCCATGAAT